GTACGTGTGTGTGCGCGTGTGTGTGGTTGCGCCAGCGCGTGCGTGTTCAGTCCTGAGTAGGTGGAGAACCCCGCCCCGCCCCCAGCCAGGAGCCCCCCAGCGATTTCATCCTGGCCCCTATATTTCCTGCCTTCTCGCCCAGCCACCTGGCATCCAGCTGCCCCTCTCTCCCTAGTACACTGGGGCCTTGACTTACGAGTGTCCAGACTAACGAGTTTTTTGAGATACCAGCTGTCTCTCCACCGATTTTTAAAAAATATATACTTTATTGATTTTTTACAGAGAGGAAGGGAAAGGGATAGAGTTAGAAACATCGATGAGAAAGAAACATCGATCAGCTGCCTCCTGCACACTCCCCACTGGGGATGTGCCCGCAACCAAGGTACATGCCCTTGACCGGAATCGAACCCGGGACCCTTGAGTCCGCAGGCCGACGCTCCATCCACTGAGCCAAACCGGTTACGGCTCTCCCCCCGATTTTTTGCATTGAGTTGATAGAGTAATTTGAGTTAACGAGCTCGGTCTCGGGAAGGAGGGAAGGAGTACTCGTAAGTCAAGGCCCCACTGTATTCAGATATCCAGATGCCAGACTCATTGTGAACGTGTCTCCCAGGCAAATCCCTCCTCCCCCTTCGAGGTCCCCGTTTCCAGGGCTAGGACACCACCCCCAGGGAACCCATGCACATGTCCATGGATGCGGGACTCTGGTCGGGCAGCCTTCTACGCCATCTGCACCTGCTCTTTTTCGGGTGCAAACCTGTGGGTCTCCCCTAGCTACCTCCCTAGGACTCATGCCTCAGTGCCTGAGAACCCCATTCCCTGGGACCCCACCCCTAGATTATTCCCAGACCCAGAAACCCACTGGGGCAAGTATTTCTGCAGAGAATAGCGATTTAATAAGTTATGGGATGGAGGGGAAAGATATGTACAGGGAGTGGGTGCTGGGAACCTGAGGTCTTAGGAGATTTGGTTTCTGGAGTGAAAAGTGGGATCCTGCCTACCTTACTCCTTGGGTGGCCAGAACCTGAACTCGGGACCCTCGTCCCTTCCTTCCTTCCTCAGAATCCAGCTGGTTTCTGGGAGACCCTGCAGCCCAAGGGGGCCCTGATCTCCTCCTCCCGCCGAGAACTAGGACATCCTAGCCCCCTGCCCTCTCTTCCTTCATGGAACCAGGATCCCGGCTCCCAGCGGACCTCTCTCCCCCAGGGCTGCCAGCCCCCCTCCTCCAGGGCCCAGGAGTCTGGGACCCCAGCCCCTTGCTGTCCCAGGGGTCCAGGAATCGGGGCAAAAGGCTGGATCCTGAGTGTGAGCCTGGCTGGGCTAGGGTCTCCGTGCCCCGAAGCTCAGCTTCCCCTAAACAACGACGGCTTCATCGTTCTCGAAGACCAGGTTTTCGTAGACGGCCTCGTTTTTCAGGGTGGGCGGCGGGTCCGACTGCTGCAGAAACCGGAGGAGGCACTGGTGCAGGAAGACATACTGGGCCTGGGGAGGGGCAGAGGGGGCGGTGAGGGGCACCCTCCTGAGCGGTGGCCTGCTGGACCCCGGATTCCACCTCCACCCACTGCCCCATCCCCCAAAGACCCCAGTCACCTCGGTCTGCACCATCAGGGGCCGACTCTCCCGCATCTTCTTCACGAAGCTGAAGGGCCCCACCACCCCCTCGCACTCCAGCTGCCGCAGCAGGACGTCCAGGGCGATGAGGGTGCCCGTGCGGCCCACGCCGGCGCTGGGCGGGGAGAGGGAGGGTCAGGTCACGGGAGGGATTTTTCAGACAGAGGGCAGGGGTCTGATTTTTGGTTTTTTGTTTAATATATTTGTTATTGATTTCAGAGAGAAAGGGAGAGAGACAGAAACATCATTGATGAGCCCTAACCGGTTTGGCTCAGTGGATAGAGTGTCGGCCTGCGGACTGAAGGGTCCCGGGTTTGATTCCAGTCAAGGGCATGTACCTTGGTTGCGGGCACATCCCTAGTAGGGGGTATGCAATAGGCAGCTGAATCGATGTTTCTCTCTTATCGATGTTTCTAACTCTCTATCCCTCTCCCTTCCTCTCTGTAAAATATCAATAAAATATATTTTTAAAAAAAGAAAGAAACATCAATGATGAGAATCATTGACCAGCTGCCTCCTGCACGCCCCCTACTGGGGATCGAGCCTACAACCCGGGCCTGTGCCCTTGACCGGAATGGAACATGGGACTCTTCAGTCCTCAGGGCGACGCTCTATCCACTGAGCCAAACCAGCCAGGGCAAATAAAAAACTTTTTAACCCCTGGCCATGCTGCTCAGTGGTTGAGCATCATCCCGTGCACCAAAGGTCGCTGGTTCGATTCCCGGTCAGGACACGAGCCAGGGGTTGTGGGCTTGACCCCCAGGAAGGGGCGTGCAGGAGGCAGCCGATCGATGGGGAGGGTGTTTCTCTCTCTCACGATCTTTCTCTTTCTCTCCCTCTCCCTTCCTCTGTCTCTAAAATCAATGCGAATATGGGACTCTTCAGTCCTCAGGGCGACGCTCTATCCACTGAGCCAACCCAGCCAGGGCAAATACAAAACTTTTTAACCCCTGGCCATGCTGCTCAGTGGTTGAGCATCATCCCGTGCACCAAAGGTCGCTGGTTCGATTCCCGGTCAGGACACGAGCCAGGGGTTGTGGGCTCGACCCCCAGGAAGGGGCGTGCAGGAGGCAGCCGATCGATGGGGAGGGGGTTTCTCTCTCTCACGATCTTTCTCTTACTCTCCCTCTCCCTTCCTCTGTCTCTAAAATCAATGCGAACATGTTTTTTAAAAATTTACACATAAAACTCACCACTTTAAACAATGCAAGGGCGGCGTTGGCAATGCTGAGCCAGCATGACCTCTGGCCACTTTCCCAAACACTCCTCTCGCCCGAAGGAGGCGCCACGCCCATGGGGCGCTCACTGACCACCCTCCTCTGCCTCCCGTCCCTGGCAACCGCCAGTGTGTCCCTGGCGCGCTGGCCTGCTCCGGGCATTGCATGTAAACAGGGTCGCCCACTGTGACCTGCAGCGTCTGGCTTCTCTCACTC